TGATTGTCTGGAGTCGGGGGTCTGTTTATGTGTTTCCACAGGGAGAACAGCAGCCGATTTGGATTCCAGAAAGATTAACTAAAGCGATTTCTACAGACCAAAAAGAAGATGATTTGGCTCAAATCCATAACAACTGATATCCAAAACTCCAGTTTGGCTATTCTTACATCTGCAACAGAACCAGGATGCTTTTTTCAATATCTATTTTATTATTGCCCTTTGCCATATCATGAAGTTCTCTTTTGTTTTTTGAGCTCATACAGACCTAGGTTAATGTTTTGCTGATCAGTTCTATTTTTTGACTATAGAGTTTTTAAACATTGCAATGGAGATTTCACCTGTAAAAAGTTATAAGGCCTTTACTATAATGTTATGTGTTGTATGTATTCTATTATGTGTGCAAACTTGTGTTTTGTGTTATATGTTTGAATGTACGTATGTCCATATATCATATATGATGAGCGCTCATGATAAAATGGATCCAAATATTTTTTTTCACGTGATTTATATGGTTTAATTTAAATTGGGTAAACAACTGTTGAGGATTGTTTTAATATGTAAACAAAAAAGAAGGTTAACAGATCTGTTTGTTTACTTTCACCTTTCCTTTTCATTATATTTAATAATTCTCTTAAAGATAATGTAAATTGTTAAGAAAATTGTTTTCTTTTAGTGCCTTCTGTAATGTTACATAATTTTTTCTTTAGCCATTATTGCCAGAATTCCTATCTTCATCCCAGTGCCGGTGAAGACAATGTAAATTGTTAAGAAAATTGTTTTCTTTTAGTGCCTTCTGTAATGTTACATAATTTTTTCTTTAGCCATTATTGCCAGAATTCCTATCTTCATCCCAGTGCCGGTGAAGACAATGTAAATTGTTAAGAAAATTGTTTTCTTTTAGTGCCTTCTGTAATGTTACATAATTTTTTCTTTAGCCATTATTTTCAGAATTCCTATCTTCATCCCAGTGCTGGTGAAGTCAAAGATAAAACCAATCTACAGCTTCTGCAATAGCCATCACTGAACTGCTTGCAGAACTTGCCTGGACACATTGTGAGCTCACCTGTATGCATTGTGAACTATCTGTTGGTACAGGGAATTGTGGTAGTGCTGGAGTATTTTTGCTGATGGTGTCACCGGTGGTACAATTTTTCAAAGGAGCCCTCAATTGGCTTAATGTCATGGCATTTTGCATCCTCCTCTACTAGTGATGGTCTAAAATTTGGGGGCCAACAGAGGTGAGGCAAAGAACCTCACCCCCCCACAGGTGCAAAGGCCTATCCACAAGTATGGCTGTATGCTGGACCGGTAGTCAGTGACGGGTATGATCCAATTGCAGTGGTACCAACCTAAGACAGGAGGCTGACGCCTAGAGGTCAGTTCATCCGATGACGGGTAAGGACCATATGTTGAATTGGACTGCCTAACAGGCACGGTCCCTAAGCCACATGCTTGTTGTTTAAACAGAGAGGGGGAGATGTTGAGAGCCACAGCCAAAGGGGCCCCAGCAAACTTCCAGCTGCCAGCAAACTTCCAGCTGCTGGCTGATGATTGGCTCACAGCGGCCCCAGCAACATCTAGCTGATTGGCTCCTCGGCCCCAGCAACATCTAGCTGATTGGCTCCTCTGCGGTGATGCTCATTGGGCTGTTTCCCTGCCCTTTCAGACCACGGAGCTGCTCATTGGGGGACTTTTTTGGCTCCGCCCACATGACCCAGCCAATCGGCCTGAAGAGCAGGAGGATTGTGGGAGGTGGAGAGAAGCTTGTGTGGGAGAGAGAGGCTTGTGGAAAGCCGGTGGTGGCAGTTGAGGCTCTGAGGGTTTTTCCTGAGAGGCTGTTTTGTTTGGTGTGTGTGGTTCTAAAAATAAAGTTAGTTTCTTTTGACAAGTGGCTCCTGATTGTGCCCAGCCAGACTGTGGCATCCCCTGCTAGGGATTGAACTCAAAGTCTTGTACATGTGCTACTTGAGTTATACCTACACCAACTGGAGCTATAACTCCAGCCCCACTCCCCCTTATTATAAAACCTCAAAGTCATTGTCAGCCAGTTTGGGGGTAGGGGCTTACCAGGCATGGAATTCAGAGTTAGCAACAGTATGCAGCTATTTCCTCACTTACATTCTACAGTTGCAGCATGTAATGTAGAGTGGGCACTCTACCACTGAGTCACATCCACAGACCTACTTTGTAGTTTATTAAATAGAGACAGGGTCTCACTGAGTTGCTTAGTGCCCCACAGTTACCGAGGTTGTCTTGAAATCCCCATCCTCCTGTCTCAGCCCGCTGGGATTATAGGCACCCACCACTGGGCCTAGACATTGTCAGCCTCTTGAAGAGAGAGATAAAGAAGCAGGTACTCTTCTATTCCCAGTGTAGTTCTACTGACTAAAGTTACTTTCATGTGTTTACCTTATTTTTTGCGGGGGGCGGTGGGGGGTGACTGGTCTGACCTGATTTATTCAATCCTCAGAGCCAGGCCTCTGGTTGAGGACCTCAATACCAAGACATATAAAAATTAGTTTTTCCTACTGAAAATGAGGGAAGCAATTCTCTGCCCCTCCTTTTTAGACTTTCACCTTAGAAACTTGAAATTTAATCTATTTTCTCCTGTGCTTAAGATGTATATAAATTCTTTTGAAAACTGAATAGGAGTGTTGTCAGCTTTATGACCCAGAAATGTCTTCAAGGACCAAAAAGCCATCTCTTGAAACATCCCAGTAACTGAGACAGGGTAGACACCAGAGTCTTCAGGCATCTTGCTGAAATTTGCAATCTCTTAGTGCATTTCCTGTGTTACCCACAACATTATAGTTTAAAGCTTTATTCAATTACCGTATTTTCTTCTTTCTCTCCTACATTGGTGGGGAAGATTTCTGAGGTGGGAGGTAATTTTGCTTTTAATTATATTTTCCCATACCACCTGTTGGCAAAAAAAAAGCATGCACTCAATGGTTTACAACTAGTTGGAGGAAAATGTTCTCAGCTCCCAAGACAAATGGCCTTCACAGGCAGCTTTAATCCCTCACCCTAACTTGCTACACTATTAATTTCCAACCCAAGGAAGCAAACCCGGTCCCACAGGTCATTTAAGAGATGCAAGGATTGCAAAAGCAGAACAATCAGCCCAGGTGGATGACTCCATTTTCACTGTTCAACTTGACTTGGGGACTCCCTGCATGTGCTTAGTCTGTAGGAATGATCTCCAATCTTTTTGATTTAAAAATATCTACTGTTTTGGAAAATGGCAATTTTCAAGCCAGCCTCAGGAATGGTGAGGCGCTTAGCCACTCAGTATGGACAGCGGTGACAGTGTCTGAGACTGGGGTCCCTGATGACTTCATGGCTGTGGCATACTTGGTGACTGGGAAAGTTTCTGTGCGTAGGCATAGTGTGGGGAGCCGTTCTCACACGTGATTGGGTACCTCCCTGACTGGGTGTGAGGCGCTCAGGCCAGCTGTGTCTGAGCTTATCCCCACCCTTTTCAGGTGCAAGAGCCTGTCCCTGTGGGGGTGTGACTGACCATTGACCCTGAAACCAGTCACTGACCCTGACCTTGGAATGCTGTCCCCCTCGACCTTCATTGCATGGAATTTCCCCCTGAATTTTTTGTTCCCCAATAAAAGACCACTCTCGGCGTGCTCCCCCCTCTCTCCTGCTGGTCTCTTGTGTAAACCTCCCTAGCACATCAGGTGGCTGGAGTCAGGAGCCTGGAAGGGCCGTCTCTTAGCTGGGCAAGAAAAAGGTAAATTGAGTTTATATGTCTTTATTTTGATCTCACTAGTTAACTTCTATGTTTGGAACCTCTAGTATGAAGCTAGTGTGCTGGTCGCACAGCAGCATAGGATGCCCGGTTGCTATGGAGATGTCCTCCATGCTAGAGTCTTATCAGCTTGGACCTTATTCTCAGGCAGGGCAGCTCCTGGGAATGACGGAACGTCCTTGCTAAGATAGCCACACTATTTCACCAGTTCTGCTGCTCCTGAATCTGCCGCAAATTAGTAAATTTAAACAATGCACTTTCTTGAGAGCTGCACAATGCTCCTAACATTGCACATTGCAACTGTACAATGTAACTGAGGAAATAGCTGCATACTGTTGCTAACTCTAACTTTTATGAATACAAAGAATAATGCTTGCACAATCTTTAATCTGATTTAGAGACATATATAATAAAGACTGCTGGAGTGATTCCTTAAACCTGCTTCTGCATCAGAGAGCAGCTCTCCACTAGACCCCAGCTGTTTTAGCTTCAAGATCTGCCTGTGTGATTCTTATCTCTTCCAATCTCCCATCGCCCCTCCTTGGAACCTGCTACTTTGGCCATCCTGATCTTGGCAACTCAGTGAAACCCTGTCTTCAAATAAAATACATATGGGGCTGGGGATATGGCCCAGTGGTTGAGTGTCCCTGGGTTCAATCTCGAGTACAAAAATAAATAAATAAATAGATAAAAACATCAAAGCATCTACTGTTTTAAAGTGTCACCATTGCTGTGAAGCAGCTGTTGGTGATGTAAGTTATCACTGGCCTTAGTTAGCCCTGCTCGCCCCACGACATGGATGTGTTCTCTAGGAGAGCCTCTGGAGTTAGCACAGGTGCAGGATCGCCTTCAAAGTGAACTGAGAATAGAAATGGAAAAGAAGTTAATGCAGGACTTGAGGGACACAGCGAAAAATGGCACCATCTACACAGACGGTTTTGCATTTCAACTGGTACTTCCTACATATTTCCTGCCTGTCACTCACAAAAGGGGCTCCAGGTTCCAAGTAAGAATCTCCGCAGCCACGCCCCTGCGCGCCCCGCCCCACCCGCCTTCTCCCGGGGCCGCGCCTCCCGTCACTCTGGCCCCGCCCCGCCCGCCGCGGCCCCGCCCACCGCCCCTGTTTCCCTGCCAGGCGTCTCCAGGAGCGCTCTGCTCCTCCTCCCAGACCCGGAAGCTGATCACGGAGCAGCGGTCACAGTGAGGCACGTGAGTTCCCTGTTCAGTGGCTGCGTCTCCTCCAGAGACATAAGAATCACACAGGCCTGCAGCAGCGGCGCCCGGCAGGGAACCCGCCGCGTGTCAGGCTTGGCCGCCTGACCGCCCTGCAGCCTCCCCCAGCGCACAGGCCTCCAGCTGCACACCAGGCCCTGCCATCACCTGGCCATGCCCTCCTCAGTCCTGCCTTCACCTGTCCTGTCCTCACCCAGCCATGTCTCCTGGCCTGACCCTACCCTCGCCCAGCCCTGTCCTCCTCACCTGCCCTGTTCCTCACCCAGCCCTGATCCCCTACTGGCCCAGCTTTTGCCAGGCCTTGTCCTGCTACCTGGCCCTACCCTCACCTGACCCTGTCTACCTTGGCGCTGTCCTCCTCACCTGCCATGTGCTCCTTGGCCAGGTGTCCACCCTGCAGGTCTTCCCTCCATTAGTCTCCCTGTTGTCTACAGGAGGTGACCTGGGCCTGTGTGGTGACTTCCAGGGGGTCATCTGATGCCATCTCCAGGTAGCAACAGCCAGATCTGAATGTCATCACAGAACACTAATTGGGCAGGTGGCACAGATTCCACCCCAGGGGAAACTATGCTCCCCTGGAGGTGGGCATCCCAGACCATCCCCCTCCCTGTGATGTGTGGCACTAGGCTCTGGACAAAGAGCTGGACCACAAATGAGAGAAAGGAGACAACAGAGAGAGAGACCTTACACAGATGGCAAGGGATTGCAGAGGGAGGGCACAAGAGTGAAAGAAGAAGCCATAAAGCAGCAGAGAGAAGCAGATGGAGAAATCTAGAATCGCAAACTCCAGAGAGGCGAAGGACAGCCACACAGGGATATGGACAGAACAGGGGAGAGACCTCAAGCTATCTAGAGAGATGAAGGACATAGGGAAAGAGACAGAATCGGGGAGGGACCACAGGCAGAGCGTGGGAGCAGAGGACACATTATCTGCAGGCATGGCAGAAGGCAGCTGTGGTGCTGGGATAAGAAGAGGGGTAACAGGTGACAAGGGGAGCCCAGAGGAGCACCTTAGAGAGGAGGCCTCGGAATGTGGGCATCCAGAGCATGGGATGAGGGGGCTGCAGCAGGCAGGGCAGATGGAGAGTGTGGATGGGGAAGAAAGAGGCGGAAATCTGTGGAGACTGGGGACAAAGACTGGGGAGAAAGACTGACTGGAGGTGAAGGGAGTTGCAGGAATGTGGAAGATCAGATGGAGGGAAGGAATAGAGGGAAGAAGGGGAGAAACCAGGAGAGGAGAGGGAAGCAAAGTGGGCAGGACGCCCTCCAGGGTGGGTGCTAAAGGAGCACAGTAGAGGTGAGGAAAGAAATTGCAAAACTACTGCCCAGGAGGCTTGTGTATTTTAAAATTCTAGAGGTAACAGGATAGCTCCCTTATCCAGCCTGAAGGCAGTGACTGAACTCATTGTGTCCAGGGTCCCCCTCCTTCCTCTCCTGATTTGTGGTGTCATGTAGGGAGTGTAGGAGATAGAAAGGACAATTAAAGTGTTTTTGCTTTTGTCATGCTGAATGCAACAGTGACCACTCAGCAGAGAGTTTTTCACCTCTGGTCATGTAAATGTGTGGCGATTTCTCCCCACCAACAAAGGGTGTCTGTGCCACCTGCCCAATTAGTGTTCTGTAATGACATTCAGATCTGGCTGCTGCTACCTGGAGATAGCATCAGATGACACAGAGCTTTCTCCTACAGCACTGCCCCACATGGTGTGCCAGTCACCTTGAGAAGTTGGGACCCCCTGCTCACCAGCTTGAGGATAACATGGTACTTTTGTTTGCTTGCTTGTTACAAATAAAGTGACACAGGTTACAGAGGTACAGGCAGATGAAAGAGCCATGGTAAAGGTTAACTGAACCCTAGAAGGGTGTTTTGGGAACCCTGAGATACCAGGGAGGAGTCTGGCAGAGAACTGGTCATTATTGAACAACCACATATGCATTTTAGTGACTAGAGAGGTGGTATTGTTTGTGGAATGTCAGAGCAGTTGAAACAGGGTGGGTTTTTCCTGTATCAGACAGTAAAAGGAAGAGATCTTATCTAAGCTGCCCTCCCATCTCAAGGCTGGTGTCTCACTGCTGCCTGAAGAGAGTGTGTCTTTGCCTCTGGCTGGTGCTGACCCTGAGATCAAGCATTCTCAGCCCCTCTCACAGTCTGAAAATGGTGTGGTGTCCTTCCCGTGTGTATCATAGTTTTCCACATGCAGAATCATTTGGTCATTGTCCTCAGAACACTGGCATTGAGCATTTCCAACCACATGAAATAAAACCTCTTTTGTTTTCCATTCTTCTGTCTCTAAAAGATAAAACACTTTGTTAATTACATTTTTCTCTGTAATATGGACTTCCCTTTTAGACTATATTTGCATGCTGAAAATTTGTTTATATGCACTGTCTTCTAGTTCTGGAGTGTTGTCTTCCAATCAAGTGTTCTCATCCACCCTAAGCTAATGGTTTAATTTTCACAGTCTCTTGTGACATCACCGTTTCTATATTCCTTTTTAAATGTCTTGTCCTCATATCTCTTCATGTCAGTACCACATTGCCCAGTTGATGACTCCCTCTTCTTTTTTCTTAGCTCTGCAGACATCTTCCTTATCTTAAAACTCTGCTTGCATTCATTGGGATTCCTCCAAGGATCACTTTGGCAATTCCTCTGCTGCCAGGCCCCACGCTGTTCTCTGACTGGGGTGCTGCCCCACAGTGGAGCCTTGCACCTCTGCTCAGCTTCTGTGTGTGCCACTGTCTCTTCTCCTCCTTTCACTCACACCTTACACACCATTCACCTCTCTAGTTCTCCGGGAGACTGCTCCCATGAACCCTAGAATCTTCTGGCCATTGTCTCCTAAACTTCATGCTGGGATGTTTAGTGGGCCTATCCACATTCATGTTCTCCCATGACCTGAGCTCCTCACATGCCTCCCCGGCATAGTCCTCAACATCTCAGGAAGGTTACTCTCTACGTGGGGGACTTGGCTGGACACCTCCACATATATCAAAATTGTACAATGTATTATGACATTGGCAGGTTTTTTTTTTTATTGTATAGGAGAATGAAAAAAATTCACATGAGTTTTTCAGAGTAGAAAGGAATCGAGAGTACACACAGCTCTTGAGGCTTGGGAGAAAAATGGGGAAAGACCTGGCTCCTGATTGCTCTGCTTCCCCAGGGCCTCTGTCCAGTTCTACTTCTGTGTCCTCTGCTTGCTCACTTTCAGCCACAGGGGCCTCTTTCCTTTTCCTGGCCGGAGCTTGCTCCAGCCTCAGGGCCTTCACTGGGTCCTGTCTCTCTACCTAGCCCTCTACATGGCCCCTGGGCTGCAGGTGGCCAACCCCTCAGGTCTTTGTTATGACATCACCTGCTCCATGGAGACTCCTTGATCGCCCCCAGCTCCTGTCACACTCCAGCCACAACCTGCCCCCACTCTGGTCCATGCAGCTTGCTGTGTCTGTCTCTTTCTGCTCCTTTACTGTCCACTACCTGGATCCTGATAAGAACAAGGTTTCAAGAGAAGGGCAGATCCAGAAGGTGGGTAGTGGGCTCGACCTGCCCTTCTGGGAGGTGCTCCATGCTGGCTTCCCCTAAGTGTGATGAGTCATTTTACATCCATTTAGGGGTGAGGCTGGTGCCCAGCCTTAATAATATTTGAGGGTGATTCTCTTCTTTGTACCAGCATTGAGTACCAGCTCTGGAGTGGTACTGGGGTCAGCCTGAGATCTGATGATAGCTGATGGGTCAGTGGTGTGGTTCACTTTGGTCAGGACTAGGGGGTGCCCTGAAGGGGAGCCCATGCTGCCCAGGTCCCCGCTTGTGCAGCCTGTGGGCTTCACCAGCAGGGAAATAAGTCCCAAAGGAAGGAGTCAGAGAAGCCTCCTGTGCTCCTCCCTGCAAGAGCTTACTATGCCTGGGTCTTCCTGTGCATAGGCAGCCAGTAAACAGTATGTTTCCTCCTTCCAGGATTGACTTGTAAAGACTCATGTTACCTGAGGAAACAACCCTGAAGAGGAGGAGGAAAGAAAAGGAGTCAGGAATGGCTGTCAGTGAGGTACAGTGATGCTCTCAGGTGTCCTGAGTCCCCTGTGCAGTGCTGAGCCTGGGAGCTGCTGGCCTCATGTGACTCTGTGGCCTCCTGCCTGTCAGGTGTGCCTGCACTCCCCAGGGCCTCCCTTACCCCATCCTCTGTGCTCAGATTCCATCCCACTGTGACCTGGTGGCAGGGAACCCATGAGGAGGTACCACCGGGTGTGGCCCTGGGAGTCCTCTGTCATTTTTGTTGATCTTTTAAAAAAGTGAGTGTGATGTTTGGTGGTGTCCCTGTCCTCCACACCAGTTCTCTCGCTCTAGTGCTCATTGTTTCCTGCCTTTTGCTTCTGTTGCCTTCAGTTGGCTCTTTCCCCTGGAGGTGTATGGTTAGTTGACCTGGGTTTCTTCGTCCTTGTTGTGAAGTTTCACTACCCTAAGGTCTTTCTTTTGTTTTTATTTTTTAGTTCATTGCATTCTGTGAGATTTGGTATGTTTATTTTTGTTTTGCTTTTGTTTCAGATATTTTCTGAATCCTGTTCCTGTCGTTACCATTGGTTGGTTAAGAATGAGGTGTTTCATTTTCCCATATTTGGGGGTGTTAATTTTTCCTCTGCAGTTGGCTTCTGTATTTATTCTGTATTTATAGGAAAGAAAACTGGGGTCCTTCCAAGTATCTGAAACTGAATTTTAAGATTTGTGACCCAATCTGTATCAAATGAAAAAATAAATAAAGCTGGGTGGTAGCTTAGTGGTTAAGCATCCTCGTGACAATCCCCCGTAACAATAACAACAAAAAAGGCTGGCAGTGTCACTCAGTGGTGAAGCACCCAAGTTCAGACCACAGTACCATAAGTAAGTTTTATGAATTTTAGAATGAGGCGTCTGCATTCGTCTACATGGGATTGGTTCTACCCTAGGCTGTGAATGTGCTGCCAGTAGTGGGGGCGCCTTCCTGTGCCTGCCCCGGCCTGTGCACCTGCAGGGGCCTGCCAGGCAGATCCATGATGTTGCCCTGCACTGGGTCCACGTCTCTCACGTAGGAAACCTGCTGTCAGTTTCACTGGACAGTCTCTGCCCCTAAGTCTCCGATTGCTCATGTTCAGCTCTGATTCCAATCACCTGGGCTGGGTTTTGCTCTGTAGTTTTGTATTCCTTGACCCAACGGAAATTTCATAGGGCGTCTGTGACACTATCATGTGTGCAGAATGATGGGAATCCTTCTTCCTCTCCTGGGCCATTTTTTATAAGTTAGTGCGTGTAAAGCATTTAGGAAAAGGTGTGCACTCAGTAGTGTCATGACCCAGGTAACTGCTCTGCGGTCCTCCCCTGCTGTTGAGATTTTGCTATTGTCAACCCAGGGTGGACTTATCTTCTCGGACACAGATCATGCTCTGGCTCACCCAGACCCTGAGCATCACCTGGTGTGTGGGATACAGGGTCTCCACTCACACTCATAGATGCAGCCTGTGTTGTCTTCCATCTGCATGTTTCTTTTCCTCTCTTTCTTTTTTTTTTTTTTAACCAGGAATGGAGCCCAGGCCAGTCTACCATTGTAATACATCCCCAGTCTTGATTTGTTTTGGTTTTGTTTTGGTTTGTTTTTTTGACAGTGTTTTGCTAAGTTGCTGAGGCTCGTGTTGAAACCGAATCCTCCTGAATCAGCCTCCTGAGTCTTGGATTATAGCTGTGTACCACTGTGCCCAGCTACTATGTTTCTTGTGGTGTCTGTAAGGAAGCCATCTATACAGATGTAGCGAGTATTTTATCTTAAGGAAAAGTGTAATAAAACACAACTAGAGAGATTTAACATGCTCAAATATACCAGATCATGTGAGAATATAGGCAAAGCAAGTTCAGTTTCTCCTTGTATATACTCCGCACCCAGAAAGCTTCTGTGATCCCAGATGAGAGGGTTTTTGTCCGCAACCAGGCGAGCAGTTCTTCAGAGGGCACCTTGTCATTTCACCTAATCCTGACACTGTCTGTGTAGACACTCGATGGATCCAAGAGCTGAGGTCTCTGTCCCACAAGAGTGCCCGCTTTTCAGATATCAGTCTTAGGCAAAAGTGTGGCCCATGATTCAGAATGACCATCTGTAAATGGGCCGTCCTTCATCCCCTCCTCACATTGAAAAAGTGGTCAGAGTGCTTTGTAAATCTGAGAAGGACTTGACTTGCATTTGCCTTGTGGTAACGCCTGTTCAGAAGAGACAGGTGAACACGCGGATGGAAGAGGTGCATAGCCAAGGTGTGGGGCAAAGGACGTGGAGCTCACATGACTTTGTGTGCTGCGCCACCGTCTAGGACCCTCCACCCACGCGTTGACCTGAACACCCTTTCACCCCGTCCTGTTGAGTTTTTATGGAGGCTCCATTATGTAGGCAGGCTTGATTACATCCTGGGTGATGGTGATCAGTTGGGACTTCAGTCCCTCTCCCTTCCCTGGAGGTAGGTGGCAGGACAGGGTGTTACAACTGCCTCTCCTGCCTGTGGCTTTCTGGGGAGAAGCCCCTTTGTGAAGCTCTCTAGGGGGCTTTGGCACCTGTCTTCTCAGTAGCACAGAAATCTTTCTTAGCTCTCCAGGGATTCCAGGTGAGCTCCACATCAGCAGACAGACAGATACCAAATGTGTATTTACAGCCTCACAGTGCAGCTCTTCTCACTTGAATCAGTTGCATGCTTACACTTCTCCTCCCTTCTCATTTCTCTTTGTTTACTTCTTTGCAGTAATGGGGTTGAACCTAGGTCCCCTCTGCCATTACATCCCTACTTCCTACGTTCTTCATTCTCAGAGAGGATCTTGCTATGTTTCCCAGTCCCACCTCCAATTTACAATGTTCCCACCCCAGCCTGGGGATAGCTGGGGTACAAGCATGTGCCACCATGTCTGGGTTCTATGGTTCACATTTTGCATGAAGATTGTAACTGTCCCCAGTGCCCCATTGTGAAGTCTGTTTTAATTTCAGGATCCACTGACATTCAGAGATGTGGCCATTGAATTCTCCCAGGAGGAGTGGAAGTGCCTGGTTCCTGCTCAGAGGGCTTTGTACAGGGACGTGATGCTGGAGACCTACAGGAACCTGGTCTCCCTGGGTGAGCTTGACGTCCCCACCCTGCACCCGCCCCATGCCAGGATCTTCAGTGCATACCTTTGTGTTTCCCCTTTGAGTTTGGGATCCTCTGAATTGACTGATTGACTGAAGCCCTGGTGCAGGCTAAAGAAAGCTTCATAGTGCAGCCTCTGCACTTTGTCCCCTTCCTTCAGATGTTCTGCCTCCTTCATGATACTGCAGTGGTGGTTCCAGAGCTGAAGCACAACATAAAGCCCACAGCCGACTCTTAAAATATCCAGTTCTACCCAGATGCGATGGCACATGCCCACAATCCCAGTAGATTGGTTTGCTGAGGTACAAGGATCAGAAATATTCCTGTAAGTTCAAAACCAGCCCCAGCAAAAGTGAGGTACTTAGCAACTCAGTGAGACCCTAAATAATATACAAAATATGGCTAGGGATGTGGCTCAGTGGTCAAGTCTCCCAGAGTTCAATCTCTGGTACAACAACAACAACAACAAAAATTAAAATACCCATTACCTGTTTTCTGTCCGTGTGCTTTTGATTCAGTGGTTCTTGGAAGAGAGGTAGATACCTACATGATATAGTGAAATATTTTCTGTATCCCTCTGTAATGTCCTCTTCCTCACGTGCAGATAGGGCTGGATTGTGGAGAAGCCACAGTGCATCAGCTTCCTTTCTCTTTACAAGCAGGAACGTGTCCTTCAGACCTGAGTGTCCTCTCCTGGTTGGAGCAAGGGAGGGAGCTCTGGACTGTGAATGGCCCAGAAGAAATATCCAGGCCTGCAAATGAGTGGGCATGTGTGGAGGGTGTGAAAGCAGGTAAGAGCTCACATGGGCAGAGAGGCAGCTGCCCACTAAGTAGTGTTGGGGTGCTTTGGCAATGGGAGGGGTCAGGGCTAAGGTGAAGTGCATTTCCTGGGCTTTACATGCAAGGAATTTGGTTTCAAGCTCCTTTTCCTCCTCTCCTCCTTCTCCCTACTCTCCCTCCTCTAAACTTTCTCTATGTATACATGAGGATGACATCCCCTTTGTTATCTTTATATATGAGTGTAACCTGATTTTGTTAAATTCCTTCCGTTTTTCTTCCCTTTCCTTCCTTCCTCCCTCCTCTTGTTCTCTTCCTTCTCCTCCCCTGTCTTCCCTGTATCTTTATGGTGTCCGGTCACCTCCTCAAACCCCTTTTCTCCCTTATTTTGCTCCAGTTTCTACATATAAGAGCAACCATAGACCCTCAATTTTTGAGTCTGGCTCATTTAACCTAGCACAATATTTTCCATTCCACCCACCAGCCAATGCCATGATTTCATTCTTCATTTACCTCTAGGTTTTTAAAAATCAGTGCTGTGAATTAGTAAAGAATGTCTCATATTTTATACTAAAGATTCATAGTTTCCTTTGTTGAATAAGATTTGTCAGCCTTCTCTCATGATCATTATGAGATGGTCCTTTTTCTGTTCATTCACTTTCATTTACCATTAGAAATCCAATAGACTTATTTACATTAACTACAGCAGTTTAATTCTCACAGTTTGGGGCCTGCAAAGTCCAAGATCAAGGTTCCTATTGAACTAGTTGATATAGCATAAGTTTTTTGGACTAGAGGTTTTTCAAAACTAAGCTTCCACCAGGGTCTGTGGCACAGGCCTTTAATGCCAGCAGTTTGGGAGGCTCTGGCAAGAGGATTGCAAGTTCAAAGCATCCTCAGCAGCAATGGCAATGCACTGAGCAACTCAGTCAAACTCTGACTCTAAATAAAGTATAAAATAGTGCTGGGGATGTGGCTCAGTGCTCGAGTGTCCCTGAGTTCAATCCCCCATACCCAGAAAATAAAAAATAAAATAAGCTTCCCTGAAAAAAATTGGATTACATGTAATCAAGCTTTCCTTTTTTATAATTCCTGTTCATTTTTTCCTTACCAATTAAAAATCATGATCATAAGCCCCATAACTATTGTCAATACAAGTATTACTTTGGTATAACCTTATATATTTCAGTGTAAGATATATATTTAGCTTCAGTAATTAGTCATAAACCTGTGGTTTTTTATATCTTCCAGACATCACTCCTAAATGGGTCATCAAGAAACTTCCATCGAAAACGAACAGCAGTACGGGAGAAATAGTCCACATGGTGACATTGCAAACATGTGATGACCTTGCCATTGAAGGATCATGCTTCGATGACACCCGGAAGAGTACATGGGACTTATGTTGTTGGAGCAATGTAGGAAGACATCACACAGGATTTTCTATGACTCAAGAGGAAAGTCCCCCTGGTTGCAGAGGTGAACGTGGAGGCAGGGATGCAGGGAAGGTGCTCATCAACAGTTGGCTTGGATTCAGCTTTCAGTCACATCTGCCTGAACCACAGTCCTTTCAAGATGAAGGGAACCTTCATAAATGGATCGATAGTGAGCAGGCTCTCGACAATGGTTCCTTGCTTCCAGCCCACCAAAGAATTCCTTCTAGTGTCAAAGCAAACATTTCTCATAAATATGAACATGATTTTATAGATTCTTGTTTGTTTATACAAGAACCAAAAACAGACATTCCTCCAGCAGCTCACAAATTTAATGAGTTTGGAAAATCCTTTAATCAAGAGTCACAATGTACTATACATCAGATACTCCGTACTAGAGAGAAGCAATTTATGTGTGATATATGTGGCAAGGTCTTCACTCAAAAATCAAAACTTACCCGTCATCATAGAATTCATACTGGAGAGAAACCTTTCAAGTGTAATGAGTGTGGGAAGGTCTTCAATCACAGTTCACACCTTGCACAACATCGGAGAATCCACACTGGAGAGAAACCTTTCAGATGTGATGACTGTGGCAAAGTCTTCAGTCAGAAGTCCTACCTGGCAAACCACCGGAGAATTCACTCTGGGGAGAGACCTTACAAGTGTGATGCATGTGGCAAGGTCTTCAATCAGATTTCACACCTGGCAAGTCATCGTAGAATCCACACTGGAGAGAAACCTTACAAATGTGATGAATGTGGAAAGGTCTTCCACCAAATTTCACACCTTGCACAACATCGAACCATTCACACAGGAGAGAAACCTTTCAAATGTAATGAGTGTGGCAAGGTCTTCAGTCGCAACTCATACCTCGTTCACCATCTGATAATCCACACTGGGGAAAAACCGTACAAATGCAATGAGTGTGGCAAGGTCTTCAATCAAAAATCGATCCTTACAAGTCACCGAAGAATTCATACTGGAGAGAAACCATACAAATGTGATGAATGTGGGAAGGTCTTTAATCAAATTTCACACCTTGCAGAACATCGAAGAATTCACACTGGAGAGAAACCTTACAAATGCAATGAGTGTGGCAGTGTTTTCAGTCAGAAGTCATCCCTTGCAAATCATCAGAGAATCCACACAGGGGAGAAACCTTTTAAATGCAATGAGTGTGGCAAGGGCTTCAGCCGTAACTCATACCTAGCAGAACATCTGATAATCCATACTGGAGAGAAGCCGTGCAAATGCAATGAATGTGGCAAAGTCTTCAGTCAAATATCACATCTTACATGTCATCGCAGAATCCATACGGGAGAGAAACCTTACAAATGTAATGACTGTGGCAAGGTCTTCAGTCTGAATTCATCCCTAGCCCATCACCGCAGGATCCATACTGGGGAGAAACCTTACAAATGTAATGACTGTGGCAAGATGTTCACTCAAAATTGACATCTTGCATGTCATCGCAGAATTCATACTGGAGAGAAACCTTACAAATGCAATGACTGTGGCAAGGTCTTCAGTCAAAATTCACATCTTGCATGTCATCGCAGAATCCACACTGGGGAGAAACCTTACAAATGTAATGACTGTGGCAAGGTCTTCAGTGTGAACTCATCCCTAGCCCATCACCGCAGGATCCATAGTGTAGAGAAGCCTTAGTAATCAGTGTGTGCAGGGTCGGGGGTCACATTGTAATCCCGGCTATTTTGCAAAAATCAGGAGGATGGCACGTGCAAATTCTGCTTGGACATAATTGTGAGATGCTTACAAAATGAAATAAAGGGCTGGGGATGTAGATCAGTGGGAAAATGATGGTAGAGCATGTTTCAGTCCCTGGGTTCAATTCCCATACCCCCAAAGAGGAAAAGAAATGCAATGATGTGTTGGGGACTTCAGTCACATTGGCACATCACATGCCAAGCATTTATGGTGGAGAGAAACCCTATGAATATGATGAATGTGGCAAAGCCTGTAGGGTGCATCTGGCCTGGCCGATCATGTGATCCACACCAAGAGGGCATGTCAAGGTTTTCACTGACATTTCCTATCACTCAGATTGTCAAGATCTCATCCTAGGAAAAAAACCACAAATGAATTAAGCACAGTCTTTGTCAGAATACAAGTCATGTAATACCACTTTATTTCCTAGTGGAGAAATTATCTTCTATGTGTAATGACTATCTGAACCTTTAGGCCTCATTTAAAGCTTGGAAACTTTCAGTCAGTCTGTGATGGAGAGGAACCTCATCCATAATTTGCTATAAACAGTCCTTAATGTAAAAGTCTGTCATCAGGATTCCTGCTGGAAAAAAACTTCACAAATGTACCAAGGTGGCAAATCATTAGTATGCACTCAGCCCTCTGTACACATCAGGTAAGGCACAAAAGCATGACTTTGGCCAAGCCTGTCTTCAATGCTCATGTCCCAGTGGACATCAGTTGATCCACGCTGGAGAGAAACCATGGAAATGTCTGCAGGTGCCAAGCTCTTCTGGCACAGTTCACAGCTTGCACAACCTGGGAGAAGACGTCCTAGAGGTAGAGCTTGAATGCAGTGAGTGTGGCACCCCCTGCAGTATGAGTTCAAGCAGTGGTCAGAGTCCATACTAAAGAGCAACATCCGTCACAATCACAGCACATAGGACAGACTTCCATGCCTCAGAACCAGTGGGCATCAAAGAGACACCTTTGAGGAAGCTGTGACAAAACACCAGAGAACAAGGAGTGTTGAGAGCCACAGCCGAAGGGGCCCCAGCAAACTTCCAGCTGCCGGCTGATGATTGGCTCACAGCGGCCCCAGCAACATCTAGCTGATTGGCTCCTCTGCAGTGATGCTCATTGGGCTGTTTCCCTGCCCTTTCAGACCACGGAGCTGCTCATTGGGGGACTTTTTTGGCTCCGCCCACATGACCCAGCCAATCGGCCTCAAGAGCAGGAGGATTGTGGGAGGTGGGGAGAAGCTTGTGTGGGAGAGAGAGGCTTGTGGAAAGCCGGTGGTGGCAGTTGAGGCTCTGAGGATTTTTCCTGAGAGGCTGTTTTGTTTGGCGTGTGTGGTTCTAAAAATAAAGTTAGTTTCTTTTGACAAGTGGCTCCTGATTGTGCCCAGCCAGACTGCGGCAAAGGAGGAATGATTTAATTTGTGCCCAAATTAATCATGTGCCCCAGAGAGCAACCATCCAAGTGTAAGGAATGTACTGTTTCTTTTTCAAACATTTGCGATTTTCTTGTCCTGAGAGGATTTATTCTGGCAAAATCAGACAGACATGATGTACGTGTCGTTTTCACTGTGCACAGGACACCCAATGTTCTCCCCTTCATTTGTTCCCATGCAGAAATACCTCATGTTTTTCTTTGTAAAGTGATTGTTCATGTTCACATATATTTTCTTTCTACACTTATTAGAAGCACAATCCCTTGGAGAAATGCTGTGTTCCCATCTCTGTAGTCTGACTAGGATACTTACTGTGTATAATGAAAGTACAAAATGTAGTTCAGACTGACATTCTGCCCTCACTGTTATGGAACATGCACTGTATTATTTCTTCTGTGCTAATGAGGAAAGGAACATGATTGTTGGTAATAATAAAAAAGAGACTAAATTTTATTACATGAGATTTATGATACATTTTTTAACAAAACTGCATGGAATTCACTTTAATTTACATAAATATGAAAATTGAAATACAGCAAGAATATGAAACATAAGAAAATTCAGGGAATAAGGATAAAAATATCTTTTTATTCTTAAAGTGCTTGTGAAAGACATACACTGAAAAGGTCAACGTTCATGAGTTTCCACTTCAGAATGAACACCCAGGGTGGAGTTTCTCTTGTTTGTGAAGTGGAAACTCATGTATTTGCCCCTAACATTTTTGCTAGTTTGCACTTGTGACCAGTCCCAACTCAGGGCTGAACCCCACCCAGTTGGGCTGGTTTGTCAGGAATGGCGAAGCCAAACACTGAAGTGTTTGCAGAGTTCACAGCATAAGGAGGCCTTCCAGGGAAGCAGGGTGGACTTGCTACACTTGTCCAGAAGTGGCTGCCTCCTCTTATGGGGGTCCTGTATGGTGCTGGAGTGAGGGAACCTGGTCATCTTTAGAACTCCCAGCTGCTGCCCGAAGAAGGGAACACTTAGGGTTTATCAGCATCTTGCCCAGATGGCATCATAGAAAGGGAGTAGTGAGACTTGAAAGGTGTCAACAATAAACATCAAAATGGGTCAGACTCCAGCACAACCCTGAGTGTTTACTCCTGATTCTCTGGGCTCTTGGTTGGCATAGAGGAACTTACAATTTTTGTCATGTCAAATTTGCATTTCCTGATGCACCTGTAGGTCCCATTCTACAGTATGATTGTTGAAAATGTTTTTGAAATACTGTTTAGACAGGTCACCTAACGTTTGTATGGTAGTTCCATGAAAACTATTGTTTTAAATGTTTGGTAGAGAATAGATATGGTTAAACAATTTTGCCAGGTCATTCATTGTGTTTGTTGCTGTGACAAAACACCTGAGAACAAGGAGGAAAGATTTGTTTTGACTCACGGTTTCAGACTCATGGGTTCCAACCCCTGATGGGCTGCCACCTGCTTTGGGCCATGTACTCATCATGATGGAAGGGCATGGGCTGGGCCTTCCCCTCTGGCACATGTTCAACCCTGGCTGCCTTTAGAGTGCTGAGGTACTTTGCAATAAATATGTCCACTAAGTGGCATCGTACTGATGGAGTGAGGCTGGTGCCCATCCTTAATAATACTTAAGGTTGATGTTGATTTTCTTCTGTGCAGCATTGAGTACCAGCTCTGTGTCCTCCATCCTGAGGGCTGAGATCAGCCTGAGATCCAGGAGAGGTGAGGGGGGCTGCTCTGACGTTCAGATTGGTCAGGGCCAGATTGTGTCCTGAAGGGAGCCCAGTGCTGCCCAGCTCCCCACTGCTGCAGCCTGTGTGTGCTTCACCAGCAGGGAGACCAGGCCCAAAGAGAGGAGTCACAGAAGTCTCCTGTGCACCTTTCTGCAGGACTGTACTATGCCTGGGTGTCCCTGGTGCAGTGGACAGCTGGGGACCATCTTCCCACATGCTGAGGTCCTCCCTGTGTGTGTGGCTGTGGCATAGGAAGGGTGTGATGATTCTGAGCCTTAAACAGTATGTTTCCTCCTTCCAGGATTGACTTGTAAAGACTCGTGTTACCCGAGGAAACAGCCCTGAAGAGGAGGAGGAAAGAAAAGGAGTCAGGGATGGCTGTCACTGAGGTACAGTGATGCTGTCAGGTGGTCCTGAGTCCCTTGTGCAGTGCTGGGTTGGGAGTTGCTGGCCTCAGGTGACTCTGCACTCCCCTGGGCCTCCCTCAGCCCCTCTCCTCTACACTTAGATTCCATCCCACTGTGACCTGGTGGCAGGGAACCCATGAGGAGGCACCACTGGGCATGGTCCTGGGAGTCCCTTTGTCATTTTTGTTAACCTTTTAAAAAAGTAAACCTGCTGCTTGGTGGGGTTCCTGTCCTCTCTACCAGCTCCCTCTGCTAGAGTGCTCAGTGTTTCCTTCCCTTTGCTTTAGTTGGCTCATTTCCTCTTGAGATGCGTAGTCAGCTGTCCTGGGTTTCCTTAACCTTGTTGTAAAGTCTAATTACACTAACATTCTCCTATTTTCTTTTTTTTTCTTCACTACATTTCCTGAGTTTTGGTGTGTTTGTTTTTGTTTTGCTTTTGTTTCAGATGTTTTCTGAATCCTTTTCCCATTGTTACATTGGTTGGTTAAGAATGAGGTGTTTCATTTCTCCATATTTGGGGGTGTTAATTTTTCTTCTGCACTCAGCTTCTGTATTTATTTCATTGTGCAAAGGAAGAAAATTGGGGTCCTTTCAAGCTTCTGAAACTGAATTTGAAGATGTGTGTGACCTAATTATGGACCCTCCTGTAGATAGATGTTCCTTGTGGATTTTAAGAGATGCGTTTCCTACTGCCCTAGGATACAATGTTCTGGTTTGGTGTGGGAGGTCCACCTGGTGTGCAGTAATATTAAAGATCTGCTTCTGGATCTCCTGTCTATTAATGTGTGTCCTCTTAATTGGAATGTTTTGGGCCATCTGAATTTCAAATAGGCCCAGAGACCAGCCTGAGGTGGTCAGTGCTTAAAGTGAAGGCTCTCAAGTACATTGGCTTCTCCATGTACCTGAGCAGAATTTTGTAACTCCTTGCAAATATTAATTTTCTTATGTACATGACTGGAAAAAAGAGCACCAAAAACTTCACAATCCTAAAAGATTTCGTATACTGTTCTAGTGTTCGTCATGACACAACCACAGACGCACTGCAGGCAGCATTGCTAACCTTCCCTGATGTCGTGTGTGTGGGTGGGGGGTGTGGGGGGGGGCTCATGCTCTGGGCCAGCAGCTCCCTGGTGCTCATCCTGCACAGGCAGCAGCAGAGAATACAGCACCTTCATAAGTCCAGCTCCCCAGGTTGTCCCCTGGGTCCTGAGTCCCCCAAACCATCCTCCTTCCTGTGAGCACCTTTGTCTTTTTTTTTTTATACACTTTCCTGCATCTTTCAGTTTTGCATTTATTATCCCAACTGGTTCCTGGTGAACACAGCTGCAGTAGTCTGGGTGTTTCCCAGCTGTCAGTCCCATTCTGCTCGCGAGACTCCAGTACATTCACACTCTCCCTTATGTGGATAAGAAATGAAAAAACCCCTATTTTATGAGGAACATGTAAATTCTAAGGTTTTGCAAAGTTCTGAGTTCTTTAGTCATTCTTACAATATTGTAAGCACAGTTGTAAGCAATCATATTGTATGCAAATGGTGTTTTATATACATGCTCTTTTGTATATTATGAATGTGTCTGTGTGTGTGTTTGTGTACATGAGCATGGATGCGTGCATATCTCCTCAATTATGCTAGTATTTACCAAGAAACACTTCTGTGAAATTGTATGTAAGAAACGCAAATTTCAGCTTTAATAACACCAATTAAATACTGGGCTTGGTGGTGCATGCCTATAATCCCAGTTGCTTGGGAGGCTGAGGCAGGAGGATTGCAAGTTCAAAGCAAGCCTCATCAAAAAGTGAGGCACTAAGCGACTCAGTGAGACCCTGTCTCTGAATAAAATATAAAATAGGGCTGGGGATATGTCTCAGTGGACAAGTGCCCCTGAATTCAATCCCCAGTAATTAATAAATAAATAAATAAATAAATGTATTTCAAACTGATTTCACATAAAATCTTTTTATATTTTCTTGCTATTCTGATTGATTAGCATTTATAATAAGTGTAACATAGTTTTTTAGTCATTTACTTTCATATTTGTGTCTTAGCTGTGTCTGTCGAAAGAATTATCTTAGTGAATATAGTCCAACAATAATATTTGCCTATAGCAGATGAAATTAGTCCTTTATGTTTAACAGTGTACAGGGCTTAAGGCAAGCAATAGGTACTGTGTTGAGTTTTCTACATTAATTTGTACTGTTAATCCACAATATACATTTTATCTTTTAAAAAAATGAATCAGAATGTAAAATTAACACATTTACTGTCCACCTTGGCAATATAGGATATTAGGTACTATTTTTCTTTTCTTGTTGCAACTGATTTTTAAGTTACTGATATGCATCTTAAGAGCAATGTTATGTACAACTCAGACACGCATCATACAATGAAATTTTACAAACAACACACACCTCTGCAATCAACTTCTGCACCAAAACCTATACTGTCAGTCTTAAAGACTCCTCCTCTTGCCTCTGCCAAGAGGGATCAGTATGTGACATCTAACAGCATGGATCACTTTTACCTCTTTTGTGCTTTATATAAATGAAGTAGTTCAGCATGAATTCTCATACGTTTGACTTTGAAAATTCCAAATGCTTTAAAATTTGTTTTTACCTATTGGTAATAGAATTCCACTTCAGGAATATCAAATAACGCATTTATGCATTCCTTTCTTGATACACACGTGCAATTGTGTGGATATGACACAAGTTTTTTCCCTAAAATTTCATGTATTGGAAGCTTTGTTCCCAGTATGATGACATTGGGTGTTGGAACCTTTGGAGTGGAGGCAAGGAAAAGATGGTTGGGTTTATCCTTGGAAGGGTAAATGCTGATCTCCTGGAGTATAGTAGTTCTCATGAGAATGGGCGGTCCTACATTGAGTGCAGGTGTCTCCTCTTTGTCTCGCTCTGTCCTGCCCTGTGGTCTCTTCTGCATGTGCTCCCACCATTGTGGTTCCATCTGCTGTGAGGCCCTCACCAGAGCTGAGCAGATGCTGGTGCTGTGTTCTTGAATCTGAAGAAGTGTGAGCTAAATAAATTTCAGTATCAAGTACCCAGCCTTAGGTATTCGATGATGGCAGCAAAATCACTCTAGTCCAACATGTGCACTTTAGTTTGGAGCATCATGATGGGCACTGGCAACAAATTTTGATGATAATTGTCAGAAGTTCTGCTGGTATGTGTGGAGTGGTACCCTTATTGGTCATAGGTTTACGCCTCCTTGGCCTTAGAATATTTTGCCAAAGAGTTTACCAAATGATTCCATGAATTTCAACCAAGAAGATACTCCTATTTTCATGAATATCATTTATATATCCCTCTTTAGAGTCAATAAT